ACAGTTTTAAACAGTTTTTAACCGTTTTTAACAGTTTTTTAACAGTTTTTAATAGTTTTAACATTTCTTAATAGTTTTAACATTTCTTAAAAGTTTTATTATTTTTTAACAGTTTTTAATAATTTTTATATTTTTTAACAGTTTTTAACGGTTTTTAACAGTTTTAACAGATTTAATTTCTAACAAATTTTAACAGTTTTCAACTAGTTTTAAAAGTGTTTTATCAGTTTTTAATATTTTTAACAGTTTTAAACAGTTTTAACCGTTTTAACCGTTTTTAACAGTTTTTTAACAGTTAGTTTAACAGTTATTTTAACAGTTATTTTAACAGTTTTTAATAGTTTTAACATTTCTTAATAGTTTTAACATTTCTTAAAATTTTTATTATTTTTTAACAGTTTTTAACATTTCGTAAGAGTTTTAATATTTTTTAACAATTTTAACATTTTTTAACAGTTTTTAACGGTTTTTGATAGTTTTAACAGATTTATAAGTTTTTAACGGTTTTTTAACTGTTTTTGATAGTTTTAACAGATTTAATAGTTTTTAACAGTTTCTAACAAATTTTAACAGTTTCTAAGTAGTTTTAAAAGTGTTTTATCAGTTATTAATATTTTTAACAGTTTTACAGTTTTTAAACGTTTTTTACAATTTTAATAGTTTTTAACAGGTTTAACACTTTTTAAACTGTTTTTGACTGTTTTTAACAGCCCTTACAGAGAGGCCGCCACTACACTATTTTAATTTTTTCTTTCCCTTTTTCTTTTTGTATACAGTGTGAACAACTTAAAATGAGAGAACCTTTGTAAATGCAACCTAACCTAACCTAACAAGAGTCTCTATTCCAAAATTCTATGTATTAAGAATAAAAATCGTTATAGGCTTCGGATGATCACTAAAAACCTGGTGAAAACAGTTGATGTTCTACTTTTTATTGGATTTACTGTTGGATTTCAGAAATTGTCTTAAACCTACGCACAAAGTTCTCCTCCAAAATTATTGTTGTTATGAATTTGATGTTAATAAAAATGAATATCTTCTGCTCTTTTCTTTATTATTTTAATTTTTTTTAGACTATAATCAAATTTATCTACGCCTACTTGTTAATAATCGGTGCCGTACTTGGAAGGCCCGAATACAGCAATATCCAACAATGTCAGGGACCGTACGATAAAGGACCGTGCAATAGGAATATTTACAAATGGGCGTTTGACACTGACAGGCAAGAATGCGTGCCATTCGTATGGGGCGGTTGTGGCGGTAACGATAAGAACAGATTTGATAGCGAAAATCATTGTTGGAACGTTTGCAGAGAACAACGCAGTAAGTTTTAAATACACTGTTACGGTCTAGCAAATAATAAATTAAATTAATCATATGTATGAAGGTAATGTAAAAAATTTCAGCTTGATATAAACCACCCAGAGATACAAAGATCAAATTCCATTTATTATTTGCTATGTTATAAGATTTCCAAATAACCTATACCCAAAATATAGAAATTTGAAGGCAGTAACAATATACATAAATGTTTTGTAGCCGAGATAATGTCCTCGTCTACAATGTCGACAATGTCTATAGACGAGAGAGGACCAGAACTTACTTTTCAAGAAACAGGAGATGAAACCACTTTCATGTTTGCCCAGTCTAACACTTTTATCCAAATTGACGGCGATATCATACAAACTTTTCAGTTAAGGTACTATTAACAGCATTCTATAACCATCTATTTCTATTAAAGACAAACGAAAAATGTTTATCAATTCCATTTGTTATAGGTTGTGTCGCCAAATTTCCTTTGAATTCCGAACCAGACTGCCGCATGGATTATTGGTGTATCATAATGTTAAAGTACCAGCAGGAATATCTTTGCAACCTTACGCTTTGTATATTATTGTCCAACAAGGTCAACTGAAAGTGGTACATGTCTATGGAAAACATTCAACTGCTCTTACAGTCGGACGAGGATTAAACAGAGATGAGTGGCATTCAGTTACGGTAAGAAACTAATCTACTTATATAGTTAAATTAATTGTTCCTATTACAACTAACAATATTTTTTGACTCGCTCTGTTTTTAAAGGTACGAATAGATGTTCATGGTGCTAGATTGATGGCCACTGTGGATGAAATGAAAGAAGAAACCACGCTTAAGGGACTTGATAAAGAAAATAACTATGGTGTATCAGCAAACGTTACTTCCGTAATACTGATCGGTGGTAAGGCCATTGAAATAAAATTTGTTTTTTTTTGCTGTTTCTGACGGATCTGGTCGTATTTTGACTATTATTTAACAGTTTTTAGCAGATCTCGACGAGTCTTGATAGTTTTGTAGTATTTTGACAGCTCTTAATGAATTTTGACAGTTGTTAAATAATTTTGACAGTGGTTGACAAATTTTGACAGATATTGACGTATTTTCAAGGTTCTTGACGTAATATGACAGCTGACGTATTTTGACAATTATTGACGCGTTTTCGAAGTTCTTGGCGTATTTTGACAGCTGTTAACATATTTTGACAATTACATATTGATGTATTTTGATAGTCCTTAACGACTTTTAACCATCCTTAAGGAGTTTTGAGAGTTCTCTACGTATGTTTAAAAATGTTTACTTATTTCGACAGTTGTTGATGTACTTAGATAGTTGTTGATGTACTTAGATAGTTATTGACGTACTTCGATAGTTGTTAAAGCATTTGGACAATTATTTAAATATTTTGAGAATTATTGTCCTAATTTTGATAGATCTTGAAATATTTGGACAGTTGATGACATTTTAAGTTGTTTAACGTTAACGTATTTTAAATTTTTGACGTGTTTTGGAGTGTTTGATAGTTCTTTGAGTATTTTGACAGTTAATGATGAATGTTCAGTTATCGAGCTATTTTTATAGTTATTGACGCAAATTGAAATATCTTGCCCTATTGTGACAGTGATTGACGTATGTTGACAAGTCTTGACGTATTTTGACAGTTCTTGACGTATTTTGACAGTTCTTGACGTATTTTGACAGTTCTTGATGTATTTTGACAGTTCTTGACATATTTTGACATCGATGAATTTTGAGTTATTGAATTATTTTGGCACTTATTGACATATTTTGACAGTTTTCGACGTTATTCCGATAGTTCATAAGCAATTTGCAGTTTTCGACATATTTAAAATTTTTTAAACAGTTTTTAACACTTTTTAAACAGTTTTTGAACAGTTTTTGAACAGTTTTTAATAGTTTTAACATTTCTTAATGGTTTTTAATAGTTTTAATATTTTTAACAGTCATTAACAATTTTACCATTTTTTAACATTTTTTTAACGCTTTTAAAACGGTTTTTAACAGATTTAATAATTTTTAACAGTTATTAACCGTTTTCAACAGTTTTAATAGTTTTTGACCGTTATTAACAGGCTTTAATACTTTTTAAACTGTTTTTGACTGTTTTTAACAGCTTTTAACAGCTTTTAACAATTTTTAACTGGTTTTTTTAAACTGTTTTTAACACTTTTTATTAGTTTTATGCAGTTTTGTCAGTTTTAAACAGGTTTTTTTATACTATTTTTAAAAGTTTTTAACAGATTTTAAGAGTTTTTAACAGATTTTAAGAGTTTTTAACAGTTACCTTAAATTTTTAACAATTTTTACAGAATTTGTTTTTAAAAGTTTTTAACAGTTTCTGTCACTTTTTAATAGTTTTAATCACTTTTAATTGTTTTTATCAGTATTTGACCGTGTTTAACAGTGTCTTACCACTTTTTAAAGGTCTTTAACCATTTTTAACGGTTTTTAACAGTTTATATCACCTTTTAATAGTTTTAATCTTTTTTGAATAGTTTTTGTCAGTATTTAACCGTTTTTGACAGTTATCACTTTTTAAGAGTTTTTAACCGTTTTTAACGGATTTTATTAGTTTTTTAACAGTTTCTATCACTTTTTAATAGTTCTAATCACTTTTTAATAGTTTTAATCCTTTTTTAATAGTTTTGATCAGTATTTGACAGTTTTTGAAAGTGTCTATCACTTTTTAACAGTTTTAACAGTTTTTAACGGATTTTATTAGTTTTTTAATAGTTTCTATCACTTTTTAATAGTTCTAATCACTTTTTAATAGTTTTTATCAGAATTTGGCCGTTTTTAACAGTGTCTTATCACTTTTTAAAGGTGTTTAACAATTTTTAACGGTTTTTACAGTTTGTTAACAGTTTCTATCACTTTTTAATAGTTTTTATCAGTATTTGACCGTTTTTGACAGTGTCTATCACTTTTTAACAGTTTTTAATCATTTTAAACTAATTTTAACAGTTTATATCACTTTTTAATAGTTGTAATCACCTTTTAATAGTTTTTATCAGAATTTGGCTGTATTTTACAGTGTCTATCACTCTTTAACAGTTTTTAATAGTATTTAACCATTTATAACAGTTTTATTAATTTTTAACCGTTTTTAACAGTTTTAAACAGTTTTTAACAGTTTTTAA